ACATTTTTTCGTGAAAAATTCTAATACCTCGAGTACGAGAACAGCTAGCGAAATTCAATAGCTTTTTAAGGCTTATGAGACGGAGAATTCAGCAAAAATAGTTTCTATGCATAAACAAATACCTTGACCTTTCAAATGACCTTCAAAGTTAGGGGGTTTTCAATTTGTTACTTTTTTGACCAGTGAACTTTTTAAAAAGTTTTAAACACATATTTTTTGCTGTTACATTTACATCGATTATCAAACATACTTTGTATGGAAGAAAATGCTTGACATCGTCAGCAAAAAGAAAAATATGAGCTACAAAACTGGATTGTGATGAAAAAATTAGAAAATTTTCTGAAGTTTTGTCGATTTTTTATAATTTAATATATTATAAATGTCCTCCAAGTTTAATGTGAAACACAATCATGATTTTTTATAATTTTACTACAAAGTTTGAAATTCAGACTTGTTTCTGTTAGATAATGAGCTAATAAATACCAAATACGAAATATTAAATAAACAAAACGAAAATAGCCACGACTCGTCAAAATGTTGCTCCCCATTTACTTGCCGGGCATTGTACATACTAGGAATGGGTAGTGGCCCACTACTAGTGGGGGTTGAAATTCGATTTTTACCGATTTTCGTACATTGGCCAACCATTCGATTCAAAATTTGTTGGAGCAAATTCGATTACTGAAAATTTAAAGTTTTTTTTTTGTAATTATCATTCTTTCTCAAATCGAAAAAGAGATTCAGTTGAACTTATGTACGCATATTAATGTGATTAACTATTCATATCGCTCTTCTTAGCTTCACAACCAAAAATAAATACAAAGAAGTATTTTTTTTTTAAATATCTAAAAAAATATCAGGAAAAATCCCAAAAATTAGCAAATGTAGCATATTGAAACTAATTTTTTGGGACGTATAACGTGATTGATATTTTAATATAAAAGCTAAAATTAAGCTGTTTTCGATTAAAATATTCGTTATTGTGTACTTAAATGTTAAATAGCAAATTGTCGAAATTTCAAAGACGAAATTCGATTTTTTCTAGAAAAATTCGATCTCATTCGAATTTTAGCAGCACAAAGTTCGATTTCAAAAATTCGCCATTTTGGAGCTAAAATTCGATTAAAACTCGAATCTCGAAGCTTCGAATTTCGAATTTACCCATCCCTACTATATACTATGTGTGTCGTAAATGCAAAGCTATACTTCCGCTCAGCAATGGCCAACAGAAATGGCGGAGCAGTCTACTAGTTACTTACTTACATAGAAGAGAAGAATGGATAAAACTGGCGCAGCCAATCAAAAACAAAGTGAGTTACAACCAAGAGTGATGGAATACAACGAAAGCCGCTGTAGAGTTGCCAAAACCACTGTTTGTTTGTCTATCATTGCTGCGAATAAGGCTTTCTCCACATTGGTCGTCTAAATCATATATAGGAGATTTTCAATACTCATACCAAATTGTTTAATTAACCATTTTTTAATACCTACTGACAATTTTTTATTGAACCCCTCATTGCATTTTTCGGAGTTTTTGGAAATTTTTGGCAGATCTATAAATTATAGTTACTATGAAAAAGTGTTAAATAAACCATTGGGTATTACTATTGGGAATCTCCTGCAGAGAAACAGAGATTTCCGATCGAAAAATATTGACTTTTAGGAATTCTATACCATTTCTAGGAATTTTTTTTTTCATATAAAATACATGGAAAACTTTGAGCACTTTGAGCGACCTCTAAATATTTTATGATTTCGAAATAAAAAAATATGAGTATAATTTTTTTCGGTATAGAACTATCCTAGGGGGCGAGAGCATAAAAATGTCGACGTTACTTTTTCACATGCATTTTTGGACCACCATAATGTATATATGTACATATGTATGTAGTTGCTTCGACATCTGAATATTCGCGTAAATAAAATATTTGCTATTTTGAGGTTGAGTTTGCTTTAACTTTTATTGATTTAACTTGAATGCAAATATCCAATTTTTCACGAGTTTATTTCTAATAAATTTAAACGATATCGACAAATGTCCATAAATACACGGTGTCGGTAATTTGAAGGAGAGGCAATGGGCGTTTTTCTTTGCCCATTCCAAACGTTCGGAATACATTTTTTCTGTTTACTTATTCGTTGGAATGTTCCGGATAATATGGTACTAGATAATCTAAACGCATTCTTTTCATTCCATCTCTAGCACGGAACTCATAGAATATTCTTTTGAACAGCTGTTTGTGTGCATATGTACTAAGAATGTTAATTTTTCCGCTTTTCCGATCCCAGGATTTTCGGGATGTCGTTATAACAATCCCGGAATCCCGGTATTAGTCCCGTGATTTAGATATTCATTACTTTTCAACAACTTAAATCGAAAAAATTGCTCCTACAAGTAAATAATAAATAAATGGGTTTGAAATCCTACTTTTTATTTAAAGTGGCGTTTTTATTTTTTCTCTCTGACGTCATTATTTATTTTAAAAGATTTTGTAATTTCAAAGATATGATTAATTCCAAAAATTATTTAAAAAAATCACTGCAATGTAGAATATAAATATGGGTACCAAATGCAAAAGGAAATTTCTTTAGAAATAAAAAAAATTAAATTTTTTTGGATTCCAAATTACGAATAGGTAATTTTTTAAGCTGATAAAGTTAGAACGATGAAATTCGATTATGTTATCGAGTTTATATAAGTCCTTAACATATAATTTTTCAAAAACAAATTTTGCGAAACTTCATGGATACAATTTTAAAAGGACATTTTCAATACTTACCAGTCCTTCTGCACCAAAAACTTGAATCTGTTCAAATTCTAAAGGATTTCCACTTTTATTTGAGTCCCATACGAATTTCCCTCATCCCTTGTCAGGCTTGGTTTGCCGACAAACCGGTTTCGGCGTTCTCTGACGAAACGAACGAAAAATGACACATGACAATGAAGATGGCACAACAAAATGAGATGATGGATGGTGACAAAAATGAGATTTGGTAACCCTGAACTCCAGGCAACGATATTTATGCATACGAATCGTAAAATCGTTATTAAAACAACAGATTTGTAAACTAATATGTAGCTAGAGAAAATACCGCCTACCTATCAAGGCAATGCCTTCAAAGAAAAACGGTTTTTTCGCTCTCCTGTAAAATTTTAGTGCCATAAGATGGCGGTTTTGCAATTGGTCGGTCGATGAGCGGTTTTGCAAATACATCGACGATATGTATGTACATATATTGAGCTAAGTATGCAGAAATTACCGCTACCTCTTCTTCTGTGTTGTGTAAAAAGTTCATAGCTGTAATGATTTCCAATATCTCACTCACTTTAAAGCCGTTTTTCTCGAATTTCCTTTTTTCGAGTTATGACACTATTGAAGTAAATTAGCGATATGTAAAAAAGCAATACATTTTATTTAACTTTAATATTCGGGTTTATCAAGTGAACGCCCAATTAGCTACTGAGGCTACACAAATCGGATTGAGCGAGTGCTCATGAAATATCAAATGGAGTGTGCCTCAAAAAGTGTACAATGGCACAAATTTGCCAAAATTGATGAAAATGTACAAAATGAACACGCGCCAATTTGCGTGAAAATTACCTGTCGACGATAGTTTGAAAAAAAAAAATGAACTATCTGCAAGTTTTTTGCATAAAAATTTCGATTTTTCGAAAAATTCCCAAATTCAACTTATGTATTTATAAAAATCTGTCCTTTTCTCTACACTAAACTTTTTAGACTAAAATCCCTACGGGTAGGGAATATTCCCTATATGTGCCAACACTGGCTTAGGGATGAAACGGTACGAGTAAATACAAGTACATACTCGATACTTTTCGTTCGATACCAATTAATATTGATATTGGACCTCAGATTCGTAAGCTAATGAAAGATACTGAATTTTCATCTAAACTAAGTCCGGTTGAACAAAGAGCCTAGAATAGCGGGCAACAAAATGAGTTTCTGAATGCATATTCAGCTATGGGACGTTTTCCCTGAGAACTTGGTTCAGTTCAGTGATGAGGAAAGGTAGCGAATACATTAGGAGATGGAAGCTATAAAAAGGTTTGCTGGAAAAATATATTCACCCTCATTGCGAGAGTCGTGTCGAATGCAAGTCGTTTTACGAGAGTCGAATCGTATCGAAAATTTCACGTCATTGCCAAAAATTTCCACTCGACTAGTGTATTAAAATGGAAAAACTTGGCAGCACTGTATACTCTTCGACGGTTTTCGTCGTTTACTTATTTCAGCACGACATTAGACAATGCGAATGTTGTCGAGTCGTACAATTTAGCCTAATTTAGGACTTACGCAATGAGGCTGATTATAAATATGCCGTCGGACTATTGCTGGTCTCTTAAACGAGAAACGGACGATGATTTATATAAAAGAAAAATAATTTGTAAACATTTTTAAGTAACTAAGGGCCAAGTTCACAGTACAAAAAATAACAGTACAAATATCTGTAGTTAACTGCCGATTTTGAGTTAACTACACCGTGTGAATATGGCTCTTAGTTGTACTTGTATTCCCATGAAAAAAAATTAAAATAAAAGTATTTAAATAAAGGAACTAATTACATTAGCCAAACCTGAATGGATCTTTAAAATTTACACCTTATTGAAAACACAATTTACAGGAGACTTTACCTATAAATTGTACTATATACACTGGCGAGCAAAACAGTGGAAAACCCCGTTACTCAACATGGACACTTTTTCCAAAAATTTAAACTTTTTTGTATATTTTGTACAGTTTCTCTGCAATTTCTGTAAACAAAATAAGAAATCGACACATCGCTAGAAGTCCTATGGAACCAAAATCTTTTTCATAGAGTAAACAGAAATAAAGGTATGGTCCAATATATGCCTTCACCTATGGAAAAGGGGTTTTTGGCCCCTAACTCCAGGTTTTGAGGGTGTATTGGAAATTCTGAGGATGCAGTTTTTTTTATACTTGACTAGACCTACAACTTGAGATATGTATCGCAAAAAGTGTTTTTTCACTGTCACACAGTGTAATCGTTTTATTGAAATTTATTTTCTTACATACATACATATGTATGCACATACTCAGCTACATATGTACATAGTTTCTTAATATTCCAATAACACCAATAATATACATACATATATTTATGTGAAAGTGGACAAATATTACATTCTGGTAATGTTATGTAAACTTGTTTATCACAGTTATCTAAAACTCCCGAACACAATACATATGCACGACATCAAAGAGAAAATTAGCTTACAAACTGTGAACAAAACTCAACTATTTCTGAAATAAAATTTAAAATCCATAAAATTACTTAAAATAAATCTTAAAAAAATCGCAAAAAAAACTAACCCCGACCGATAAAACAAAAACATGTGATTATAAAGTTGAGCATTTAAGTTTGCCCCCGAAAGTGAAATTAATGGATACCGCCCACGTCTCAAGTATTAAAATCGGAAACTAGCTGATATGTAGAAACTCGAAACAGCAGCCATTATGGTGGTACTTTGGAAAATGCTCTGTTACATGATACTCGTACTTCTAGTTATGTCTTGTTGCTAAAGGAATTTACATTTTGTAACTCATTAAGGGAACCCCCACTCATTGGTCTTGGGATGCACACAACATTTTAGCCTAAAAAAATTATTTAGGATAGCTCAAATCCTGTGTTGCTGCTAACAGCGTAGCGTAATTTGTCGCGCAGTGTGGACTTCTTCTGGTAGTTTGGCAATTTTAGTAAATTGAAGCAGGTGGATGACGTTGGCAAGCGATTCAGAGGATCTTTCTTGCGTATGGTGAAGAAGCCACGTATGACACTGCCAATAGTGTCTCCAGTGTCCTCGTCGTCACCAACTTCAACGCAGCGAATAGAAAACGGCGGCTCAAGATTGGCAAAGCCTAACAGTGGAGGTTTTGAACAACTAGTTACAAACTGCAAAGAAATCGAGCATAAATGAAACTAAGCATAAATTTATGTATGTGCATAAAACGAAGGAGAAAAATTCCAAACCTTAAGAAACAATTTGCGCTCTTCCTCGGTGAAATCTTTGGCTAAGATGTCCCATAACCAGCCGACGACCCGATGAGAATCGTGAAAGCCGCCATAATACTGTGTATGCTTTCGTAGATCTCGGAGATCTAATGGCACTGTATCGCCAGAAATGAGACGTTGTAATTCAGGAGGAGAAAATAAAGACAACCATTCTGGATTGACAATACTGCGAAACCCACGATTAAACGCCTGAGTCTGTTCGCGGATTTGTGTGTTCATATGAAAGTAAGCCATATAATGGATATAAACCAGCTTGTTGTGATCAGTGACGGAGCGAGCTTTCCCACCGGGATGCAGCTCATGCGTTACAATCTTTCCCATTACGTCCTGATCAACCGAGAAGGTTAAATTTAAATCAGACACATCTTGCTTGTAGTGCTTAATAAAAGTGAGACTGCGATAGAGTTCGTTGTCCAAAGAAGGCAGCTCATCCATACAAGAGTACAGCGCCTGATGTGTTTGTCCCAAAAGCTGAGAGAGAAAGAACGAAGCGAAAGGAACATCAACAACTATGCCCTCGTACACGGCTTTGCCCAACATTCGTCCGACAAACTCAAACAGCTGCAAATGATTGTCCTGCACATATGATATAGGGGAAGGATATAGCCGTTGATCAGAGGTCGTTTTGAATAAATTTAACGACGGATCAAACACTTTCTTGATTGTTTCCTCCAGAAATTCTTTGAAAACTCCATCTTGATCAATACCGGCCTCGTGCAGGCCTTGCTGATTGATAAAACGTACACGAATGACACCCTGGCAGGTAAAAAAATAAACGAAATGCATAAATGTATTCAGTTCCTCTTGAATTAGGTTGTGTTTTGTTACTCACTTTCAATGCATGTGGCCTCAGCGCAGCCAACTGGCGGTAGCCGTCCTCCACAATGCGGTCGCGATGCACAACAATCAATGCGGAACGTGGTGATGCGCAGGCGCTCTCCGTCAAGCCCATTACCGCCTTCTCATTCTGGACGAACTTTCGAAATAGTTTGACACGATCTTCATGTGGAATTATATGAGGCATTTTCTGCAGCAAAATCACTGCGTGTCGTTTAGCTTTTTCCAAATCACTGATAAATGTCGAAGGCTTCACTTCGGGTATAAGCCAATGGTTACTTGGCGCAAATGAGCGACGGCAATCACGTCGATAAAGACACAGCAGCAACGTATGCAAGGATACGAAGACTGGACATTGTGTGACATTTTTTGTTCCTGTTGAAAAAAAAGCTATATTTTTTCATTAAAGCAGCCTCAATCTTAACAATGAATTGTGATCCTACTTACCTAACAAGTTTTCGTTTATTATTTTAAATAGTATGTTGTTCAGGAAGTAAGTGAGCATGACAAAGTCATTGAGAAGAAATGGTTTTTGTTCGGTATACATTTCATATTCATCTAAAATGCTGTAAAATCCACTGTTGTAGAAAATGTTTGTATTGCTAAATAATACAATGTATACATACGTAACGTAATGAGTCATGCTATCACAAAATAGCATCAACATTGCGATTTGGGGTTTCTTCAAGGCGTTTTCCTGCTTTAACAGTTCCGTAAATTCCTTCATCCCACAATTCGGGCCGAGCGATGTAAGAAGTAGCCACAGATCATACAAAACGTTATCATTGTAACAGATGCCTTGAAAGCCATAAGGAGACAATTTTTTGATAATAAAACAATACCATAGAATGGAATGGATGGTGTATCGTATTATATAGTTTTCTGTTTACCTGTTAATATATCTAGTCTGAGTTGTGAAAGCGTATTTAGCGCAGCATAAAACATTGCACATACGCGCGACACTTGTTCAACTTCATTGCCATCCAGCCGACGCCATGTTCTGCTGCCTCTTGTGAAGTTTCCTCGTGTTGAGCCGCGATCCAATGCTCGTCGGATTAAGTTGCTAGTAGATGCATGTGCCGGTGGTTGAAATTCTATTCGTTCGTAGGTCGCATTAATGTTTCGAAGTAAGTCTACTAACAAGACCTTGATGCATCGATGACCCCATAGCAAATGAAATTGTTTTTTGATCAAAGCTACATTTTGATTTTGTGCCGGATCCAACGAGGGAGTATGCCAGCCAAGAAGTTCATGCCATTGCGTGAATACTCCTTTACTAGATACTGTGTTGGGTATATTTTCCAGAAGCACTGTAGTTGCATTCTTTTAACAAAAATTTTAATTAATTTTTAAAGCTATTAACGAGACTATTTTAAATATTGGCTACAGTTTAGTGATATGCCCAATGATTTCGGGATATTGTATCTGAATGGGCGACCCGGTCCACACACTTGTAGTCAAGGATCTAAACTTTATTTTCAAACCTAATTTTGTAATTTTCGGTCATTAATTTATTAAGAATTCGGTTTGAAATATGGGTGTTTCCATCGAAAAGTCGACCGCGTAAAAAATTAAAAGTCCTATATCTAACTTATTTATAGGCCGATTTGGCTGCTATTTATAATATATATATACTGGTTATTTAAGCAGAAACATTTTTGCAAAAAATGGTGTCGTTAGGTGGCGCCAGGGTCGAGATACGCGGTAATCTCGAAAACTATTGAACGGATTTGGACAAGATTTTCTCTAATACACTCTGTATCAGGGATGATAAATGAGTTTTTTAATTTTGTACCAAATGACTAAAAAAAAGTGTACTAAATAAGCCGAAAAAGTACCAACATTTAAAACACTATACATATGCGAATGTGATCAATTGTGAATTTTAACTATGTCGTCGGAACGTAGAATGATAACTAATGTATAAAATTGCTTTAACAAAAATACCAAACGATTTCTTAGTTTTATGTAACTTATAATTTGAATGAATGTGACTGGTGGGAAATTGAAAATAACTCTATTTTACC